GGGTTTACAGGGCAAGCACCTTTACCCACTTAGACATGCTACTGGCCCCCCATCTGATCTCTTTTCTCTCTCTGTTGTACATTTATTTATGTATTTACTTGTGTATGTGTGTGTGTGTGTGTGTGTGTGTGTGTGTGTGTGTGTGTGTCTGCGTGCACATGTGTTTCTATGCATGCCATAGTGCTCACATAGAGGAGACCAGAGGCCAATTTTAGGACATCAGTCAACTCGTGGCCGAAATGTCCTGGCTGACCCTAGTGATAACAGGAAAGAACCCTTTGACACAGATTAGATCAATTCCTCTGATTGGTTCCTCACTCACCTGCGTGTTTCTAGTTGCAGAAAAGGGTTTCTGCACAAACCTATCAAAACGGCATCCAAGTTAAACAGCTAACATGCTACTGCCACCCTGTGGCTGATTTCCGAACAACACCAGAATCTAGACCACCACTTACGCGCACATGATTAGGACCGTAGTGGCTAGCTGGTGTTGTCTGTTCCAGACGATGGGTTGTGATACCATCTGGTGAATCCATTCTCACAATAGAGCATGTAACTGAAAACCTTCCACACCAGCTGTCCCATGCCCTGGGTACAGTGACAGGCAGCGCTGGAAACAGCGGTAGGTCGATCATCCGTGTGTGTCTGAATGCTAAGGGTCCCATTGGTGGTCTCAACAACCAGTGTTGTAGACCTATGTCCTCTGAGGAGAACAATCAAAATTATGTTACCTGTGTTTACTTGTGTCAATCACAATCAGGCCTGTGGATGGTTGACATTCCCTCATGGAAGGCGAGGGGTCACTGGACTCTCCCTTGAATATTCATTGGCTCCTCCCGGGCATTTTGTATGCCTTTCTGCCATGACTGCAAGTGGTGGACTGGGGTGGGCGTCTCATGGAGGGGTTAGATAGAATGGAGGAAGCTAGCTGAGGGGTTGCTCCGTCTATGCCGCCATGGAGGAGCCATCATCCATGCTGGGTGCAGACCTTCCAATGCCGCTGCTTTGGGGTCATCCATGTTCCTGCCTGCACCCCCTCACCTGCGCTTTGTAAGTCAGCCTAAGAACTCAACTGTTTCCCAAGTCAGCTTTGGTGAAATCGTATTTTGGCTTGTTGTTGGGAAAGGGTGGGAAAGAATTTTCAAAACACACAGGCTTTTACTTCTGCAGGGCTTAAGTCTTCCTCCCAGCAGTTAATCAACACTACCATTTTTGTGCATCTGTCCCAGTCTGCCACAGACTAGTGATCCAAGAGCTGGGTATCTGTCCAGCATCATGGGGTTCTGGTGAGGGCTATTTGTGGATTGTAGATCCACACTACCTTCTTGCTTTAGGAAGGGTAGAGAAGGGGAGGAGATAGAGGGAGCAAATATCCTCTTAATTTTTTTTTAAGACAGAGTCTCATTTATTCCAGGATGGAGCAGGGCCTATAACTCAGTTAATAAAGTGCCCGCCCAGCATGATGAAAGCCCTCCCTAGCACCTCATAAAACTGGGTGAGGTAGCACATGCCTGTCATCCCAGCATTTGGGAGATAGAAGCAGGAGGACCAGAAGTTCAGGTAATCCCTAACTATATATAAAATTCAGAGTCAGCCTGAACCATCTGAGACTCTGTCTTAAAAACAAAACAAACAGCCAGGCAGTGGTGCTGCACGCCTTTAATCCCAGCACTCAGGAGGCAGAGGCAGACAGATCTCTGTGAGTTCAAGGCCAGCTTGGTCTACAGAGCAAGTTCCAGGACAGTCCGGGCCTGTCTTGAAACCCTGTCTTGAAAAAAAGGATTGTAATTGATTCGTGCATTATGATGTGCATATAGGGATGATGGATTATGGGTATGAATATGTACGTGTGAATACAGGTGCCTCGGGAAGCCAGAAGCACTGGATTCCCCTGGAGCTGGAGTTACAGGTAGTTGTGAGCCACCCAAATGTGTGCTGGGAACTGAACTCTGCTCTCTCTCTCTCTCTCTCTCTCTCTCTCTCTCTCTCTCTCTATATATATATATATATATATATATATATATATATATACACACACACATATATATAAAAGTTGGTCTTTCCTTCTACAGTGTGGGTCCAGGCACTGAATTCAGGTCACTAGGCTGGGTGTCAAGTGCCCTCACCGGCACTCCATCTCACCAGCCTCAGAGCCCAGGGTCTTATCCATAAATGCTAGGCAAACACACTACTTCAGAATCACACCCCCCAGCCCTTTTAAACTTCTTGTATTTCGAGACAGGGTCTCCCTGAATTTTCCAGGCTGGCATTGAACTCCCTTTGTCGCCTAGGTGGACCTTGCATTTGCTGTCCTTCTGCCTTGGCCTCCGGTGTAGCTGGGATTTACAGGCAGGGACCACCAGAGTCACCTGATCCTTGTTTATTTACTTAGTTTAGACGCTGACAATGTCATATTATATGTAATGTATTTTAGTCATTGTTTCCTCTACCCTCCTTCCCACCCCACCTTCTCTTATTCCCCTGCCATTCTTACAGAACT